ACCTGTTTCTTGAGGTGGACGATGTCGATGATGACTGACAGTACCATCCTAGCATGTCATCAGAAAGCAGTCGCAAGCAAGACGTTGGAAAGGAGAGTCTCCACAGTCATCTTGAATGTGTATCAGAGCACTGGGATAGAGAGGGAGGATGGTTCTAGGCAATCTCTGGAGAACCATAGGAAGTTGGATGAGATACGGAGGTTCTACAACAAGAAGTTCGAAGAGGAGCACGACGTTCACCGCAACCTGGCTTCGTCAGGGGAGTACTTGAAACTCAACAGAAAGGGAGAGTACCAATATGTTTCTGGAGTAATGGGAATGGCGTACAACCCCTTCTTGGACCTGGAAGCTGGAGGAGCCAACAGAAATTATGAAGTGGCGGAGCTGTTGAAGTTCTGGACAGAGAAGATAGTGGAGATAGACGTTGTGGAGAGAGAGAGACCTAGCCTGGGTCTGGTTCTTGAGGGGATGCCGGGAGTGATAAGTGTACCACGCTCAAGTAAAAGAGTGGAGCTAAAAATGGGTGATGGGAGTGGCGTGTTGATCACGAACCTGGGAGTGGTATGGAAATTACTCAGACCTTCCTGGTGTCCACATCCCCATGCAAGTATGATTGAGGAGGTCACTGAGCGGGTGAGATTGGCACCGACAGAGGATGAGGACTTGGCGATCTTGAGCATAGTACACAAACTGATCTTGCCTCAGGTGAAAGAATCAAGTGAGGTGACGAGTGGAACAGAGCCGGTGAGGAGGATGGAGCCGGGCAGTTTTCTTGATTCGACATGCAGTAACGGCGAACATATTTGTGATGGACGATTATGCGTCAGGATACAATCTTTCCAGAAAGAGGACCTCACTACCTGGTTTGAAGATATCACTGAAAGGGAGAAGAGTGAGGTACAGATAGTGGCTGAATGTTACGCGAGGACCACCGTGAACCTAGCGACAGCCTTGGGATTCTTCTCAAGAATGTGCAGTCTCCAGTCACTGGAGAGGCTAGAGTCAGAACATCACATGGTGACCGCGTTAAGCGTGGAATCATGGCCCGGAGTGCTACAAGTGAACCAGAAGCACATCAAGAGTTGGAAGATCGGACTCGAGGCAGAGATGGGATTTCCCATGAGCGAAGCCTATGGATTGCCTCTAAATGCAAAATCCTTAGTGGGATCAGTGTTGGCTAACCTATGTGGGAGCCACTATCCACTACACATGGCGATGGTGGAGGTGTCCAGCCAGAGGGTGATGATAGACAAAGCCTTCTCAGTGCCCAAGTGCGTGAGACTAGCTCGGATGTCACACCACTCACACAAGCTATTGAGGAAGATCCGAGGAGCAGTACCAAAGGAGCAAAGAGATGACTTGAGTGAAATCTGGGGTGAAGAACTTCTAGGCTTGGAGAGCGAAAATGCAAGTGATCATGGGAAGCAGAACGTGGTGGGGAAACCCGCAGTAGGTGCTTCAAGCTCGGAAGAAGTCGACGTGGTGCATGAGAAAATGATGGAACTTGAGCCTCTCCTAGAAGCTTCGGGAGAACGCAACCTTAGAAGCATCGACCTCACGCATGGGGATTGTCCATGCCACTGTCTGGCGCAGACAGTGTGGTACCCGGACCGCGCCAATCTCTGTCTGATCTGGGACGTAGAAGAAATTAAGTCGCTAGGACTACCGGAGTATCGACAAAAGGTGACCATCTTAGTGGTAAGCACGATGCTGGCTCTGAGATGGATTGAGGAGAATATAGCGAAGTACAGAGAATCGAGAGCGCCAACAGCTGAATCGATTTATGCGATAGATTACAGCAGGAGACTGGAGTTGTTCGAGACTGCATGCAAGGTATTCGCCATACCAGTGCAAGTCAGACACATATGGAGCCGCCTGAGATTCTTTCCTTGGTTTCGTGCGACGTTAACATCCTGGTTGTATGCAGTGACAAAGAACCACATGAGGAAACATCAGAAGGAATATCGACAATTCCAAGCTGAAATAGGGCCAGATGCCTTTAAGAGACCTCTGCTAACCCATCGAAACGCAATCACGGCGGGGTGGAAAAGAGTAGGCAGAATATCCAGAGACAATTCTAGAGCGAGGGAAACGATACTGGAGGAGGACCTGGCGAGGAATGTGAGCTTGAGTCTTCATAACTCCTTCTGCTTGAACCGGGAGTCGAAGGTGAAAGGCCTACCAAGTCAATTGAAAAGGTTGCAAGAGCAGAGAGAGTGGATGCGAGCCTATGAACAGCTGAAGGCCTGGGAGGAAATTGTGATTAGCTCCGATGACGAAGAGGCACTATTGGAACAAATTACAGTGCCAAGAACACCGGTATCAGGTACCTCGAAGGCGAAGAACATGAGGTGAGCCAGTGGCTCGAAAGGAAATTCTAGAGTCTTGAGTCTTGAGAGGGAGGGGGCTTGAGCGTGAACTTGGATAAAATCTGGGTTCACGGAAAAGAAATTTTAGACGAATAAGATATTGTTATTAATATGATAGATCTAGTATATAAATCAAATTGATGCATGACAATTCTCTGACTGAAATAGGACAAAAGAAATTTTAAAAATTACCAGCTTAAAAAGCGGGGATTCATGGGTGCAGGTGTATGCAGATTTTGATTGCTGTTTAGCGGTAGTGTGAAAATTTTATATGGTCGTGAATTTTGCAAGGTAGATAAACTTAAGTCCGATGCAAACTTCTGTAAATGACCACTGGCACTGTATCTTGAGCAACACTCGGTTCTCTGGGACTTATTGGCAGATGACGACACACGATGAGGACATCGATCTCGAGTCCGGGGAGTATGTGCCAGTCGGTCATGTCTAGGGGTTTGACCTTGAGAAATACGCAATTTTGGAGTGAAATTTTAATTTTGCAAAATTCGAATTGAGCATGTCATGCTCAATTTTCTCGAACCAACTGAAAATGAAAAAGTCAGAAATCAGAACACCCGAATTAACAATTGCGGGAAACTACTCAAGAAAAAGGCAGGAAATTGCTATTCGCAATTTCTCGATACGAAATATCAAGAGAGTAGAGCTGTCTTGTCCTGAAAACAGGAGAATCGAATACGGACTTGAGACAGAACAATTATTCGAATGGAAAGGAGTGGACTCTGAATGGAAGAGTGGACAACTCGAGTGTCCAAAGGGTTCATTCAGAGACTTTGATTCTAGAGACAAAAACTTACTTCTGTTATTGAAACTAATTGGCCTTAAAACTTATTTAGTTATGTTACTTAATTCTCAAGCTGCTCAGTTATAACTTACTCCTCATATTCAAGTGCGTCGATATGTAAGTTCCAATTTAAATTTCTCGAGTGCATTTTATGATAGTTATGTTGAGATAAGGCGAGTTTTAGGTTGATCCATCTGAAATGGATCAAAGTTCCACTGTCCAATAAAAAGTAACTAAGCGGATTGTTCCGACCCGGTTTTTAACGGCGTTCATGTATTTTGGGTATCCCGAGACCTAAGTATGGGGACGTTTTTATTTCTAGAGTGGGGGGGGGGGGGTATTTTGGTAGTGGCCTTTAAGCTGTAATGGGTTCCAGTCTCATGTCGCAAGCGAACCGAATTGGCTCCGACCGTTCTTGAGGCGGAAAAACACAAGAGATAGTGTCCCTGACTCTTGAGCCAATGGTTATAGGGCCTATTTTTCTTAAGCCTCATATGTGACTAAAGTAGGCGACTGTTACATTTCTACTAGTATCGATAATAGTTTATACTAATTTGTTCAAATCATGATACTAGCATAGCTGTTTCGACAATCGTTCTTCGGTCGAGTCAAATATGCTAATTAACGTATTTGCTCGTCTCTTTGATGTACTTGTTAACGTCAAAGTTTCCGACTAAAACACGACAACGTTTGACTTGGTTTTCTTACTATTTGTACCACAAAATTACTTGAAGGCGTGTCACGGAGCAGCATAGCAGATAAGTAAATTCGTTAGAGGATAGCCGAAAAATTATTTCGTTGCCGGATAGCCAAAATTTTGGATCTACTTAACCGTTGCCCCCATTTCAAGATAGGATTGCTGTTTGAAACTGCTGAAAGCCCCCAGTTTAAGATGAAAATTCTTAAAATCAAAGATTATTGTTACGAAATTGCTTGTCTAATGTACGTGTCAACAAACTCGCTTCTGTGTACATCAACCGTTTTTTTCAGAGGCAATCCTGGCAATAATTCTTTTCATTTTGACGAATAAATTGTTGAATTCAATTTTTCTGATTGACTTGAGTTTTTGAACAAGATAAATTTTAAACTAGTACTCGATATTGGTATCGATATTAGTATGCTTTTTCGATACTAGTATTTTGTCAACACTTCTATCAAACCTATGGTGGTGTGCTTTCAAGGTACACTCAGTATTTGAAAATAGGTCATACAAGTATGACTGATCAAAAACTATTAAGGCCGAGATTTGTCGTATTAGAAAAAAAACTTTGGAGTTTTCAACCATGTTTTGTGGTGCTGTCAGGGAACTCCTAGAGGTCGCAAGTTTGACCTATTATTGAACTAATTTATACCGATGGTTAATTCAAAACCTTTTCCCCCAAAAAATTATTGAACTTCTGAATTTTTGTTTCTGAGCTACAATTTTTAGGTATTTTTTCAAATTTTCGAGTTTTTATCAATTAATAGCTGATTGATGCCGAAAACTTCATTTTAAAAAGCATAAAAGGAGCATAAGTATGCTGTCGGTTTGTGGGGTCTTTTTTTTAGTTTAAAGTTTCGCAAATCTTATAAAATCAGTAGTTTTGGAGATGTGACTATTTGAGTGAAAAATAACCTAAAAAATTACTAAATAAATTGTTTAAATAATGAAATAGAAAACCCTGATGACCCTGAAAACCCAATTTATATTTACTGTTGTCGACGATTTTTGTGATTATTTTAGGAAGTTCCTTTAATATTCAACAATCTATTTGAAGCACCGTAAGTGCGAGTCATGCGCTAGTGCGATTGTAGCTCAGTTCCATTAAGTTAGCTCTACTTAAAATTTTAAGTAAGCTTGGCTTAAAAATGTCTTATTTTTCAGTATTATTCTGGTACTCATATATTACGCTACTGCAAGTTTAATATCGCTCTTCTATTTATTCACCTCATATTTAGCTGTCTCGTCTGCTCGTGAGCTCAATTAATCATTAACCCTGCAAAATATCCAAATCTATCAATATTATCCAGAATCTTCGAATCTTAACAACTGATTGATTTATTTACTCAGCAATTTTGATCCAGCATGGTTGTAGAAAATACCGAGTCAGGCGTTACGGATTTAGTAAACAATGGGGAAGTTGTGGAAAAACAGGAGGTGAAGGTTGAATCCGATGATTCTAAGAAAGATTGCTGCGAAACAGTTGCCACAAAAGAAAATGAAGTAGTGAAACCAGGAAAATCGACAGATCTCATTGAGGAGGCTGACCTTAACGGACAAAAAGAGGTGAAAAAGGACGAAGTGTTAGAATCGAGTCCAGTACCGAAGCAAGGTGATGATTCTGCTGTCGGAGAGAGCATGAATAGTGACTCATTCATGAGTCCCGACGAGTACGACGATCACGATGAAATACCACTCACGGGGACGATTTATCACGGGGACGATTTATCTGGAGAGAAGTTGAGTAAAACTAACTTGTATATTAGAGGTCTTAGTCCAGATTTCAACGACCGAAAGCTGTTTGATTTGTGCAAAAGATTTGGACAAATAGTTTCGACTAAAGCAATTATGCATAAGCAGAGCTTAGTGTGCAAAGGTTATGGGTTCGTGGATTTCTCGACTGAAGAAGAAGCTAAAAAGGCGGTTATTGAGTTGCAACAAGAAGGAATTCCTGCGCAGATGGCTCGTCAACAGGAACAGGATTTGACTAATATTTACATTTCAAACTTGCCAAAGGGATTTGACGAGAAAAAGCTAGAAGAGGTGTTCCAGAATCTAGGAACTGTAGTCTCCACCAGGATTTTGAGGGACCAGAGTGGAAATACGAAACGTGTTGGATTTGTGAGAATGGAAACGCAGGAAATGTGTGAAAAGGTAATCGCTCAAGTGCATAATAAGCCCTTGGAAGGCTATCCGGAGTGCAAACTGCTGTGCAAATTCGCAGATGCGGGAAAGAGACGCAAACCAATCTACGGAGCTGGCGGGGCTTACGACCATTATGATGCGTATCATCAACATAATCATCATAGCTATAACTATTCCAATCATCAAAGTGCCTATACATCATACTATGCCAACTTCCCTAAAGGGTACCAGGGAGCTACCTCCAACTCGCATCCTTCTGTCAACGGATCTTCGCCCGCAGGAGTCCCGTGGTCTGCAGCAGCATCGGGACCCGCATTCGGTTTGAGTCCTCTTGCATCCACGGGAGCGCTCAACTACTACAACCTGTTACTTGCTAACTCTGCTTTCGGAGCCGTCCCTAACAACTCGGCCGCTGGTGGTGCTAACTCGCTGCTGTCTGCCAACCCGCTGGCTGCCGCTGCAACCCTGGGAGGTGCACCCTACTTCCAGAATCAGGCGGCGGCCCAGCAGGTGCAATTGAACTCGTCATCTGCCAACGCGAATAATGCAAACGTGGCCAATAGTGCAATCGGACATAGTCCCAGCCACTCTGGCTCATTTCTGGTGAATTCTGCCGCTAATCACAACCAATTTTCCGAAGGTAAAGGAATCCTCGGATCTTTCAATTACAATTGCTCATGACTTTTTGCGTAGTCATGCAGCTCTTCTACCGGTTTTCCAACGCATGCAATTTTATGCAATTTTTCGTACTTAAACATCGATCTTATTGTGTAACCTTCTCGAGATTTTTCGAAGTTGTATATAAGGACTAAACGTGTTTGTGACCGAGTTTTAGCCATATGCCAATTTTTAGACAATTGCTCAATGTGGACAAAAGAAAAGATCCCAGAAATTAGCATGAGGTAGGGAATGGTAAAAGTGGGAAATTTTTGAGACGTCTAATAAAGTTTTCTCAAATAATAAGAAGCATATAGATATCATCTCCAAATATCTAATCGAAGGTTTCATTTGTTTCAGCTTCCAATATGCATAGTGCTTCCCAGTCTAATAATGGAGTGGCATCTTTAAATCAGAATCTCTCTCATGGACCCAACAGTCAGTCGAACTCCCTTGGTAATAGCATGAACGGGGTAGACTTGAATGCGCTCTATCAACAACAGTCTACCAATGCCCAGCAACTAATCTCAAACTTGTCCCATTCGATGAACCAAATGTCATTTCCGGGAAGCAATCAACGCCATGGACAAACTCAGAACCAATCAGGAGGCAATGGTAGGAACGGTGGCAATGCATCCAACATGTTCTACCCCGGACAGGGCCAGGGAATGATGAATGGGGCATCTTCGCCTCTGGATGGTGCCCAAAATGGCGGATCAAATGGGTTCCCGGGAAACACTCCCCCGAACGGAGAGGAGTTGCAGCAACATTTGAAGGTGTCCAACGGTTTCAGTCTGAATGGAAACTCAAACGGCAATGGATTCAATGGACATAACCAGTTAGTCGAAATCATATCTCGTTCTATTAGCTGTTACTGCTACTTTTATATTTGTTGCAAATGAACAAATTTCGTAAACACATGTGTCGAAAAACATAATTTCATGATGGTTGTTTGGAAACATGCATTTCAAAGCGAAGATCGAATCGTGCTCTCCAAAAATAAAATCAAAACTAACAGAACTTTGTTTTAAATGTTGATTTGCTTTTGACAATTCCCAGCGAAAGAAGTTTTTCTTAAATAGAGCTCATTATATCAACCAAAAGCCAATTATGACGACCTTTAAATGATGAGTAATTTACGGTAATTCAGTTTGTTCTATGAACATAGTTAAATTGCGCAATGAAAATAATTGCTTCATTCGCATAAACAATCAGTCGGATTTGAGTTATTAACGCTTTTACAACTGCAGGTTGCCATTTTTGTTTCGGATCGAAAGGCTAAACGCAGTACTCAGTAATTTCATCTACGTCTATTTTAATGAAATTTATATATTGGTTTTTTATATATTGGTTTTTTACATTTCAGTTTTTCGGCGTCCGGTGGAAATGGAAACGGGGGCATGAATGGACAACACTATTGGGCCGCCTTGCAGCAACAGGGTGCGGCGGCCGCTGCCGCAGTTCCAAACAGCGCCGCTGTGGCCGCATACGCAGCAGCTCTGGCCTCTCAGAATGCAGCTGGAGGTCTCCAGATGAATGGGAACGGAGGCACTGGATCCAACGGGGACCACTTGGGAGGACCTGCGTCACAATCTGGTGCAAATGCAAACAGCTTGCATATGATGTCGATGGGAAGAAACGGACCCAACGTGTCATCTTCTTCAGGCCAGCTTCAATATTAGCTGCTCAACGTCTAAACCTTAAATGATATTAGTCTAAGGTGTTTTCTATGATGCTTGGAAGTATAAATGACGGTTGTAGGATTGCCTGCGGGTGATTTTGAAGTGTGCCGTGCAGTAATTAACTCAGCGGCAGTTTTGCAGACCTAAAAGAGAGGAGACTTTAGCCTCAGTAGCTACTATGTACTGTAGATTTCGTTAGACCACAAAATGGACTTTAAGAAAGAGTTACAAATTATGTCAGCAAATGTTTATTATAATATTTCATGCGCTTTGATGTCTTTATTTTCTTCGGAGCAGAAGTTTACAAATATTCTATCAAACTTTTCTTCAGCTTGGCTCATCCGATGAGTCATGCAACCACTCTTTTTCTCATCTCACACATTCCGCGAAAGACTTATCAGTGTTCTTCAAATTTTTATCTTTTCGGTTTCGGGGCTTTTCTGCTCACTGTAAATGTCAAATTTTCTATACTTCATTTTGTTTGAGCTGTTTTGTTCACCGCAAAGAACATGACAAATTATCTCAACTGGGCATATGCTAAAGTATGGCCTACGCAAATTTATATTTTTCATTTCTGTTGAATTTGATCAATTTGCCAAATTTCTTTTCCAGATTCTCGATTTGCTTTGTGACTGGCTAAAAAGTTTTATCTCGATTTATGTTGTGTCGTCGTGACTTGATACAGGACCCCTAACAGTGACCTTTTAGTTATTGATAGTCAGAATCGTGTTAAGGGTCCAATCTTATAAATTTGTATTTCTTCAATTTCATTTCTTTGATATAATCTTGATTCAATTATTTCTTGTGATCATTTTTGAAGCCGTTTAAAATCGAATACTTTGACCAAATTTCCTTCTGTTGCTAATCGAACTCGTTTTGTGATTTCGTATTGACGGGCATCAGGAATTGCTAATCGTCATAGCTCGCTCTCCTTTTCTTTCGAAGTTGCAAACTTAGTTTGATTCGGTTTTTCATTTTGAAGATGTTGTAAATTGGAGTCTGTTATATTGTCTTTGTCCAAAAGAACTCTTTGTCAGAATTTATATTTTACAAATGATCTATTTTGCTTTGATCTACCTCTTCAATTCATATTTGCTTTGATCTCTCAAAACTACGTGTTACTAAAATTAAAATGTAACTGAAGTTCAAGTTTGAAAACGGTTTCACGTTGTTTGAAATTTAGTAGGCGACGAATGTTTGAAATTGTTTGTCGCCCGTCGTTTAATTTCGCCCGATTAATTTGATCACCAATTGTTGATTGTGGGTAATTTTTCTGAATTTACATTTTTATTCTAGCTTACTCTTTTGTACAAACGCTTGTCGATTGACTTTACACCGGCTGGCGAAAAAGAGCAGTACACGTGGAAGCAGGGGCGCTTTTAGGAGGTGTATTTGACGGTTACATGACAAAAGATCCCTTACCTTAAGATCCCAAACGAGAAGATCCCAGTCAATAAGATACCATTCCAAAAGATACCTCGTTCTAAAATCGCCCACGACATAAGATACCATAATAAAATAACAAAGAACCTGAGAATTGAAAATAAAGCGGTTAATCGATCAAAGCAAAAACAAAGCGTCGGTTAAAATCAAAGCAACGGCAAAAATTTTGCTGCACAAATTTCGAACATGAATGACCTTGCTAATCACTTGGCCTTTAAAATGAAACTCAAACTTCAAAACAGCTTAGACTATAATTGAACTTGAAAAGGATTTCCAATTAATCAAAACCAACTTTGCTAAAAATGGCCTGATTTTCCAGACAATTCAAGTCGGTACAAAATTGAAATTGAGTTTTTGCAAAATTCTAAAGCTTTCAAATCATTTTCATTGCGAATCACTTGCCGTTCTATTTGATAAAAAATATCAATTCTCAATTTTGATCAACTTTTTTTCGCTAGGCGCAATACTCAAAGGGCCGTCAGGCCCCTACCCCCAACCTAGCCTCCCGTCAATAAGAGCAATTGCTCTGGGATCAAATTGCTAGAGACAGCATTTTTGAATGCGAGTCGTAGTATTGCGTTTCGGCGTTCTCCGGGAGGGTGCAAGGAGACGTCTATAAAAAAGTTGATCAAACAATTTTAAATTTAGGAAAAATTAGGCAAAAACTATAACAAAATTTAATAGGTTAAATGGGCAAGTGAACGGATATAAGACAATAAGTTAGAGTCTGTGTATGAACTTGTTATCTGTTGAACTTTTTCATTCAGATCACGGTACTTCTTCCGGGATAAGTTGATAGTGCCGCTGGATGCCTTCAAAATGTTGAACTTTTGATTGTAGGAATCCAGTTGAATTTTTTCGAGAAACGTATGTATTGAAGGATGGCTGCCTTGAAACAAAGCGGTTACACCTAGATGCCACCCTTCAACTGCATTTGTGGTTCGGGCTAGACCACACACAGCATTTTGATAATGGTTCCAAAGAGAAATAGGAAAAAGTGTTTTTCGGCCAATCAAATCCCCTCTAATGTAAGTTTTTTGGAAATAAGCAGTGAGCTCGTCTAATTTTTCGAGATCGTTTTGTGAAATATCCAGTTTGGTTGCCACACTGGTTGCCACACTGCATATTTCCTCAATGACTAGGTCGAACCCGATTTCCACTTTTGACTCCGGAACAAAACTAAGCGCAGGAATCATATTCAGCGCCAAAACTAGCTCGCTGTTTGATTCGTACGTCTTTTTCAGGCCCAATTCGGATATTTTTCGCATAAAACTCTGACAGAGGTGAAAATAGCATCCCTTAATGTCAGTTTCGTAATGAGAGGTAAAAGCACTCAGAGCCGCAATTTCAAAGTCGATCAAAATTCTTTCCGGGGTTACGTCACCGATAAGCGATTTGAGTGCGGTTAGGAATTTGTTATAGGTTGATAAGCGCTTATTGCTAAGCAGAGCGTAAACGCAAGGTGGATAAAACCCGCCAATCTGGATGTGTACAGTGTACAGCTGGTAAAACTGACTGGGGCAAATTTTGAAAGTACCGTCTACAAGCCAGGTTTTGTTGTACAATTTAAGTGCATTGAGGTTCTCAAGGTCGCCAAAAATTAATATGCGCTCCGTATCTTGTTTTCCGCTATCAAAAAGACAAAATTGCTTAAAACGATCGGGTATTTCGAAATGACGGTCATCTGTGGCAATAGTGGGCAGGGATGTCGTTTGTTTACTTCTGTTTAAAGTTCGCGTTAGCGCCGACCGGGAGGGCAAAGACAGTTGGGTTGCTTTTTCGTCCTGCACCAATTGCAAACTAGCTGCGATTATCTGACTGTTTACTGGATTTAATTGATTCCTAACTGTCTCCTTCATTTGTTGAACTAGTTGCCGAGCTTCTGAGCGTCCTGCGTTGAGCTCATGACTATGCTCGTTGCTCTGTGAGATTATATCGCTCCCAGAAGTGATTAAAGTTTTCGGGCATTTATACGATCTCCATTTGCTGCAGCGCCAGTGTGTCGTTGTCTTCGTATCGCGTTTCTTTTGAAATTCATGGCCATCAAGAATAATCAAAGTTTGGCCTTTTTGTGAGGTTCCCCAAGTAAAAGAATTCATTTTTGACTTATCAATGAGTTAAAGAGGGAGATAATGAATGCAGAGTGTATACATTTTCAATTAAGTTGTTCTAATTCAATGCCATATTAACACTAAATTAAACACATGTTGGCACTATGTTAATCCCAAAAATGAGTCCAGTTTAAATTTAGTTATCTTAAATTTGCATTGTTTTTCAATAGCGCGAACCTAATTGAGGTATCATTACTCTAGATTTATTTCTGCTTACACTTTGATCATGATTTTTGTTCATAATTCATGGGATCTTTTTAATTGGCATGGGATTTTATGGTATGGGCGATTTTTATACAAGGGATCTTTTGGTATGGTATCTTTTGTCATGGGAGCTTTTGGTATGGTATCTTTTGTCCTGACACCGTATTTGACCCCCTGAATTGCCCTATTTTCCGACACTCGTTTTTGGTATATCAATCGTAAGATTTTGAGGGGAGCGGGTGGCTCTAAAAAACCGCGATTTGTTAGTAAAAACACCCTCCTAAAACTGAGCAAATACGGCAATTTGAGCCCATTTTTCAGAAATATTTCTGTGGCGCCAAAAATTGTGTCCAAGTTTGGTCATTATAAATATTTTAAGAGTGCTCGGTAAATCATTTTGATGGACCTGAAAAAACTTAGAATTTAGAATTTTTTGAGATACCGCCTTCTCTCGATAAAATCTTAGATCCGCCCCCTGCTTGACCGTTAGCGTTTGCTCTTTTTTTTCGTTTTTAAGTGGTAGGGGGAGGGGGGTTGTATAATTGACCTGATGCTTTGCTGTCGAATAGGTTGATGCTGAAAAATATCACTGTCACTTTGGTGCAATTTCTGTAATTGCATCGCCATCTATTCACCAGGTTTTTGTGGGCTGGTCAAAAATGAAAAGCAATCAATGTCAAGGAAATGAACTCTTGTAGCTAAGATTTCAGTTCAGGAGTAATACTCCATCCACTTCTATTTTTAAACATGCGTCGACGAATGTTAATTGGACGCCAATTGACTATCGTCTCAGGATGAACTAGTGACGCAAACGAGTCTTCAAGACTAGAAAATGCCCTCCCTCCATGATAGTGATCTCGAAATGGTAATCAACTCTCTTTTGTTCACATGCCATCCTTGCCTTTGATCATTTTACTTGATGTTCTTCAGTAATGCTTTAATATTTCCTGGCGCGTTGTAATTTGTGGTAAATTAGCGGCCAAAATGGTTTTGAAATCTGAGACCAATTTAGGTCTAAAACGGACATTTTTGGGGGCACTTGGTTCCTGTGACGCAGGAAGCTGCGAGGCACGTGAAAAGAGGGAAGGAAATAGATTGGAAAGGCTAAGTAAGGAAAGATGGATGGATTAATAATTCATTTCTTATTTTCTACTACTGTCGCTTTGGAGCAAATACGATTCTTAACTGATGCTGCTTTTTTTACTCGTTACATGAAGAAAAATATCAGTGTTGATATGGAGTCACAAAATGTACAGTAGAATGAGTTAATACTAAATAAGCGTTCAATTGAAAAGAGCTTCACACAAAAAGACACAATTCTTTTTAACAAGAATGAAGATTCATTTGTTGTCTTGTGCTTAGTTTTTTATTGAGTAAAATAAAATCATGCTTAAATGTTACCATCTTTGGCTAATGGAGTTGGAAAATTGAAAAGAGAAGCCTACGTAAAAATATTTACAAGCCCACGTTTTTTGGTATGAAAGGCGTGGAAAGTGAAAACTACCCTTTATCTTTTTTTCATTTTGCTAAAATAAAAACATGCTCGGGGCAATTCCGCATTTAAAATGTCAAATTGAGTTTTTTAATTTTCAAACGAACTATTACAGAACAAAGAACAAATTTTATCAAATTGTTTTCAGCCTTGAAAATAACAACGCGGTACATTGAAGGAAGGCAAAAACGTGCCAAAAGAGTAAAATCTACCTAAGCAAGTTATCAAGTAAAATATATCAAAGGAAAGATGAACGGATCAATTTCTGGAAATTGGCTTGCTGATATTATATTCCAAACACTCGCTAACACTGAAAAAATATTGCTAATGTGATATTGGCGCGGGTGGGGGAGGTTTTAGCTTCAATTTAAATTAAAATGGTTTGTGAATGACTAAAGGTCTAAACTCTAATTAAGTTTTTATCCCAACTAACTTAATCAGCTGAGGGGATGATGGTAGTTTGTATAATATTAAATAAATTACGAGATTTTAAATTTAAAAATTGAAGATTTTAAGAAGGGAATATTTTCTTCATTTTGTAAAACAAAATTCAGTCAAAAAATTTCCATCCTGGAAGAACACCAAAAAGAGGTTTTTTTTGGATGAAATTTCATCTAATAAGAAAACGAGTTTTTGTGATACAGAAAATTCTTGTAATGCTGGAAGCGTAGTTCGAAATTTTAATAAAAAGCGACCAATTGAAAGCTGTTGATCATAGCATGGATGGAAGAACCCTTAAATTTATCCTTTGCTAGTGTCATTTGAACCTTCATTCTTTTGTTAATTTCGGTACAATAGAGTGTGGAGTTGACAAATTCTGCGAATTTCGCTTTGACATCACAATTGGTTGTTATTTTTTAAGACTTGTCTAGCTCATTGGAACATAATAAAATTCACTGAAGCATGCGCAGGAAAGGAAAGGAACTAGTCTTTTAATGCTATAATGAGCAATAAGCTATTCCGTAAGTCATGACGCACAATAGAACATGCGCGTAAATATTAAATTGACGCCGCCAATGACACAAAAAACGCTGTTTTCACTAAA